CATTGAATACAATACACGACTCTGAAATAATTTTCAAGAATTTTGACCTCATTTTGAAATGTAAATTCTCTTTAAACATTATTATTGTCGAACATTATCCACTTGCAAGCGACAAAAATTAGATGCTTCATATGTTCAGTTGAATTTTTTCAAGGTTAATATGATAACGGATGACACATTAATTCTCCAAGTCCAACATTTCGAGCGTTGAGCACAAAAGGTGCTTGCATTTCCTTCGTGAAAAATGAGGAATTTAAGTTTACTGCATGCAAGAAAAAGTAAACTTGGTGATTCGACCTACTTTTGATATTGGTTCGTTTTAAATACTGCATTTAACATCAGAGGAACTGTAGTTCACAAATGAAATTTGAATTGGAAACCGTTCCTTTATTGATTGCTGATAATTTCTACGTGATCACCAAAGGGTTACTTTGAATAAAATGGGACATTGATAGTACAGGAACCATCTTATTCTAGAAAATTTTTAATGAGGTGGGTTCTCCTCAGTTTTCCCTGAATGACGCTTAGTTGGGATTGGGAATGACGCCCACTTGGGTGGCGGAAAGTCTGTGGGTTGCCAACTTAACTGACACGCTCGCATAGAATTAGATTATTCAAGGACAGGTAAATTGGTTCAAGAAGTGGATGCAAAAGGAAGAACCTTCCTAGTGGAAAAAAATCAGCAACAAAGTAGGTCGAAAGTTTGGGAAATTGATTTTGTGGAGGTACAGTTACTATCGTCCTCTCGTTGCATTGAACCAACAAATATTATCCATGTGATGATGGTGCATGAATAAAGCCATGTCTTGAACGATGAGGTACGTTATAAAAAAGGTGAAGCTCAAATTTAAGCAAAGGAAAATACAGTCTTATTATAAATGAGCCATTACAGTATTTTTGCATACCGATAAGGGCATTTCATAACCTGTTTGACCCCGTCTCTATACATGAGCCCAATGAACGCATCGAGGTTCTCTTGCATGCGGAGTAAATATTTGTGAAAAGAATGACACACTGTCTAGGTATGTGTTGAATTACCGCATAGTTTTCCAGCAAAAAATCGTAACTATCAGAGGATTCCTGAAGCATTTTCAACCGATGACGTACCAATAAGGTGCGCCGGTTCACTAATTTCTTTGAGAAATGTCACTTATTCTGTGATAGCCAGCAGAATGAATGGCGCACGGCGATCGCCAAGCTCATACTTCTGTTTCTATGAAAACCGAAATTTTCCCGGCACGAAATTGTTGTTAATTTTCTCCACATATTTCAAAGTGAGGTTTCATGATGCATGTGCTGCGCAAGACGTTGGCCTGGTAAAATAAAAATGCGTCTCTGAGGTGGAATTAATTCATCCAGGAACTTTCGGGTCACAAGTTTGGAAAGTTTTGGCCTACTTGCCGTACGGTCACCCGCATCCCTGAAATATTGTCAGCTTAGTCCAGGGATTAGCAGGATTATAAACTCCACAATATTTTTTTCTGCTATTCATCAACTAGCTTTCAGCAAAGATCTATAACTACGCTTCGCTGCGAAGAAGAACTTTCTCTTTTATGACCAGTCATGATGCTTTTGTTTCTTTTCAGCCAGAACTAACATTGTTTGTATGCTCCAGGAGTTGACATCCATTATTGTGGCACTGCTCAATTACCTTCGAACCAAAATCGCAAACTCTGCTGTCGTGATCACCCTTACAAAATAATTTTGCCTCAATTATTGCTTCTTCTGCATTCGGTTTTCGCTTTCATATAGAGCATCAAAACAGAAAAAAATTGCATGTTTACTGCTGCGGTTAGTGACGGAAAAATATTTTGCAAACTTCCTCACTGTTTTTCACAGTCTAATGAATAAATTTGATACCAGACAACAAAGAACTTTCTTCAATTCAACGCCAGAGTACATGGACCGTCACAGCAGTACACTCAACATATTATTGAAGATGGGAAAGAATAATTTAAAATAAATTTGAACTTCTGGGACTCAGATAAGATTGAATAAAGATGCAAATGCTTGAAGACGTGTGGCAACGTTTTCCATGAGTTTTTTTTTTTTAATCGTCATGGCAGTGATATCAATATATAGCTAGGGTAAAATATAAAATTCGACAATCTGTATGCAATTGAATTTGCTTGAATGTATGTGCATTTTTGAAGCATTGCCCCAAACCATGCATGCTACATGCATAAAAATTGAATAATTTTCCAAGTCTCACATAAATCATCATTGGAGGCAAATGAGAGCTGTCGTATTATTTTAGTAAATCATCATTAAAGTACACGTAAAAATTGTCCTCCTAGCAATAGGAAATGAGGAAAAAATAAAACTAAATATACTGTCAATACAGACTATTCAGGAGCTCTTCAAATCTTTAAAATATTCTTCTCAGGGTTCCATTCGTGATGGAATCCCGCAACTTGATTCGGCTTTCTTTCTTGGATGGTGATTGTACTGATAATCCAGGGTTTCTCAGAACACATCAACCATCTCCCCTCTCTCTCACGACGGTTTTCGAGTGCGTGACATTATGGATAAAATAACTGTCAGCTTAAATGTAGCGAACACCTGATCATCTTGAAAAACTGCGATGTTTTATTATTCAATAGAAAACTTCAAGTTTATGTGCTTCCAGTGGGTTATTTGGGGAGCAAAGAGGAAGTCATTAAAAAATGGAAATTTTTGTAACTGCATGTTTCAGATCCTGTGGAACACCTGTAATCTGGGTTCATGTCTTTTCAATTGTTGTACGAAAGTGATTAGGCGCAGGAAAGGAATTTTAAGTCCATATCCAATTGCTGGCTAGAATTCAGGAAGCAGGGCATGCAATCAATTTATGAGAAAACCATGTGTGGTTGCTCACTGCTGAAAACTGTTGAATCGTCGGAAGATCTACTGAAGGACGAATCTGGATTTTTGCCAAATTTCAACAGTGATAATTTCAAAAACAATGTCCCTGCTTACAGCGTGCTCTAAACATTGATGGGTTACAGACAGAAAAATTTGCAGAAACTCTTGTGCACTTGAGGTAAGCAGAAAAATATCCAAAATACTAGCGTAACCAACGCGTTTAAATAGTCAACAACTTTGAAAAAGGAAGGAGTTGTTATCCAGAGGTTCAATTTTGCTTCGAGAGAACCACTTGAGCAAAGGCATGATCAAATGCAAAACAAATTCAAGGAACTGATCAATAACTACGATTGAAATTCTATGCACAGTGCGATTTAAATACAGTACAGTACTTGGATAAATGGAAGTTTTTCGGTAGGTTTTCATACTTTTCATTGGCAAAATGATTGAACCTTAATCCTCCCCCAAGTTGTCACCCGTAGGTTTGCTGATTCACTTGAATGATCACAGTAAAGTAGTGGACTATTCAATTAATACACAATTTCCGAGCGCAAGGATCTATCAACATCAAGTTACATTTTTGCTCCTGCCGTTTTTGTTCCATGCAAAGTTTTGATGGAGTGACGAGTCTTCTGAAATATTTCTCAATAATTAAAATGGGGTCGTTCCATTTGCTGCTCTGCTAGCCCTGCTAGTGACGATGATCTGGAAAATATTTTCGCAAGAACTGAGAGTGCGTTTCGTTACCCTACGAGAACGGGTGGAGTGCTGTACACGTGTACAGTACTGTTATCTGGAAACTTGTTCATGTAGATGTCGCCAACAGATGGACCTGTGTCCTCGAAGGTCACCAACGTTCTATTCTACCCGGATCCTCGTGATGTACTGATTTCCAGAAGTCCGCTGCTCTATTTAGAAAAATATGTTATTATGCGTATCATTTTATTTCGGGTGGAGATGAGTTCGAAACATATCCGTCTGAATCTTCCTTTTTTTCCAATAGACCTACATTCGTGCGGGACAAACCCTACGTCGGATAAAGCATTCATTTGACGACATGTAAGATTTCATTGGAGATAGTCATTTCACGTACTGTCGAGTTTGCGTGTCGTACTTTTCATGCGAACGCATCTACGGAGACTGAAGCGAACGTAGAATAAAAAGAGTCTGCTCACGTACTTGTCAAAACAGAATCAATAAAAAGAATCACAGTCGCCCGCCATACATAAATGCCGATGAAACGAGAAGATTCCGCGCAGAGAGCTGCAAATGAGCCGCAAGTGACTTATTTGTTCAATAAGTACGAAATTTAATTTCGATGGTGATTTTTGCTGCACATTATTACAGAGGAATACTATTGATGCATCTCGACGAGATTAGATCCCACCAGGGACCAGAGGACTCACGAATGCTTAAGTTAGCTATTCTTTGCTGCATGGAGAGTTTGCTGGAGACGCATCTCACGTAGTCAGTTCGTGCAGTGTTCGACACCCGAACGCTACACTGCGCATACCGAAATGTTTAAGCTAGGTGTCGCTCTTTGATTGGTCTTTTATGGTACCCAGCAGCGAAGTAATACTGTACAATCACGACCAGCAGCCTTCTTCCATGCTTCCCGAAGAGAATGATAACTTTTCTTTTATTCAATTAGCGTTGATGTCCATTGAGATTTTGTTTGCATGAAAGGCAAGAAGACTCATCAGTCATCACACCACACAGTAATGCGCAAAATATAATATGTCGAGTACAGTATATTGGCTGTCAATATGGAACTGCTGGCCCAATTAGATTTTTTGCATTTAGTATGGTTAAATTGTGGAAAAAAAGGCTGGGACAGCTGTTATTTTGCATGATGCCTTTTATATCCCTGTAGGAGACAAACAATTAAAGATGAAGCGTTATGATGTCAAGAGCATGTACCATATTTAAGAGTGCTTTCCGCTTCCTTTTCATGCATCGAATGAAATCATCCTGCATGGTTTCCGTTCCCATTCTCTGATCTTCATGTGACACAGCCGGAGGTTGCCCCATCGCCGGTTCTATTTAATAAAAATGTGTGTAACTTCCTAATCTTTTCGTTCAGGTGTCGCGCGTTAGAGAAGACCGACTGTACGCCATATATCCCTCGCGCGGATGGTGTGGTACGTTAGATTTTGATGGTCTGGTATCCGCTGTCGACGGGGCTTTTGACTGCTTTGTCTGCAGTTGTCGCTGGACCTCTGAAGTTGACAGAAGTGAGAACGTGGAGCAATGTTTTTTCACTCATGATCGAGGACGGCCGTGCGGAGGATTCTGTTACGTGTTTCGGGCGTAGGAATGAGCGGCTGTGGGAGATTCGCAGCAACTTGTTTCTTGTGCTAGATCCTTTTGTACTGAATTTAGATATTTTTCGTTCTATGGCTTAGCTGCATCTCCCTCAAGTTCACGCCTCGAACACCGGGACATCCGTATCTTTTACTCTCCTTTCCCCAAGACTTGCGTTAATAATAATCTGAGAATTCGAAACGTCAGTTGGAGAATTTATCTAGTTTTATTTGAGAGTTCATTAGCGTTAGCTTTGTGCTCCTGTGTTGAGAGAGCTTTCAGAAATTTACAGGATAGGAAGTGCTTCGCCAGAAAGTGTCCTGTCAGTATCCTTTCCTATGTTGATTACGAGAGAGCGTTTAGCTGGGCTGTGAGTGGATTTAGTTGGTCGCTTCATGGAGAGGTAAGACACTGAACTCTGCGACAGTTTTTCTACATTGTGGAGGTTCATGGTGGCAGACCCGCGCGGGCAGTTCCCTTGTAAATCGTTCTGAGAAATGCGAATCTTTTTTAATCTTGCCCATGGTAACCTTGCGCAAAGTGGTAAGATCTTGCCTAGGACTCGCATTTCTCTACACCTACTTTTGAAAGATGAACGACGGACGACTGCAATATCTTTAGTACAGATGAAGAAGACTGTTGTGCGACCGAGTTTAATTCGAGGCAAGTGAAATGAGCTATACGGTCGGTCTTGCTGTACGAAGGAGGGGCATTGAATGTTTTTCGCTCGGTACGATGTCCGGTTCGCAGACGTATACGTCTGGAGAATTGAAGGATGTGTGCAGACGTGTTTTCCCTGAAGTAGAAAGGTTTTCCCCCTACGGTCTGTTTTTTGATTGTGGCTTGTTTTAGTCGGTTGCGATGAAAAATGATGCAGAACTCGAGCAGTGAGGACCATTGTGAGGGAGATTCCGAGAGTGACCGCGTTCCTACGTTCTACATTTAAGAGTGGGTTTCCACTATTGCGGGATAATTATGTTGGAGTATTATTTCGTACCATGTCGTTACTTGGCGTTATCAATCAAGTTTCTGTAATGATTTTCAGTAAGTTTAATGTCTATTCTACAGTATGTATTGCTTTGTTTGCAGAACCTAAATGTCTTTTTTTTTCATGTTGAGCAAGTTTGAGCAGCGTTTCGAAGCGTTTGAGGGACTAAGCTACCCAATTTCTAGAATCCCAAGTCGAATTTGCACATATGCTCCTTGTTTTCAAAACTTCAGTTCCGAACTTCCGATTCTATCGCGAAGTTTTCTTGGAGAACATATGGAGTCGTAAAATAAAACCAGTGCTCGATTCAAACATTGCTCGATTTCCAGTGTGTACGGAAACTTGTACATACGCTGTATATGCGCCCTTACCGAACTAGTGCCCTTTCTTTTTTGGTGGAAATTGTATTTCCTCAATATGTAATGCAGGTATGAGAAATGACATCCGTGAGCAGCGAAGTACGCACGCATAGCTAACAATGTTTGAACGGATTTATCAAAATAAGACTTTCTTCCCACTTCCGCACTAGAAATGAGCTGGGTTTTATAGGATAGCGCGATCTCGCAAGCATTCGTCATCCCCGACGCTTCAGAAGAGCGTTTGGTATAGTTTTTGGCGAAGCTTCTTCAACTCCCACGTGGTCATATTTTCGGTATTTTTGCGTTCGAAAGCGACGGTTCCCAGTTCTATTTGCGCTGTTGCGCTTCGTTGAAGTGCTTGTTCAACGTTGCCTTGTAGAGGACCACTTCTGATCCGTGGGGTGTTACAAAGACGCGTTCCACTCGTTCGTCCGCTTTCCTTCTCTTTGTGCGCTGCGGCTGATGGTACGATTCAACGTCTAGCTGCTGTTGTGGTTACACTTCATGGATTCTAGCATGAATTTTATTTTTCGCAAGATTTTCGAGATCCTGACGCGGAAAGCGGATAGGTTTCGAATTATCTCCTGTATTTCGCGAGTTTTACCCGTAGCATTTGTGTTCGTGTAGCTGAGTAGAGTTGTATTTCGTTCAACATTTAATTGTTCTTGAAAGTAATCCAGTGTGTCCGTTGTTCTTTCAAGAATGTATTTCAAACCTCTTTTCAAGCGCTGACTATGGGGAAGGGAAACAACGTGGGACTAGTCACAAGCCAGTATCGAGGAGTTCATTCTGAAACGTCTTCCTTTCGTTCCCGATCTAGTGGATTTCTTTTTTTTTTTGGCGAGGTTAAAATTAAATGCTTTGTTTGATCTGCTGGAGAAGTTGGAAGCGTTTGACTCTTGAGCGGTTTTTTTCTGCAGGTAACCGGACGGGCGAATATAGTGTGGGTGAGGTGTCGTCCGGCTGTTCGTCTGCTTTCCTTCGCTCTCTCTTTTTCTTTTTTCCCCTGTGTTCGTGGTGGAAATTTATATTTTGGTTGCTGTGATGACGGAGTGAGGAAACCGTAGAAGACGTTGGGTTAAAAGCAAGCAGATCATCCCGTTAACAAGGGGCGGGCCGAGAAAAGGGAAAGCAGGAGGAAGAGCGGAAAAAGGAAAGCGAGACAGACCGATGATTCTGAATTGCGCGGTGGAGCTTTAGTGGGATGTGGAGCTGGACAGGTCCACTTAGTTCTGCCGGTTCGTCAGTAACCTGATTTCTGTTGAGCCGGTGGAAGCGCTGTAGTATTCACATTCTGCCAAGTTAGGGGACAGTGTCGGGCTCGCGGAGGTCGAGAGATGAGCTCCGAAACCATGAAGATTCTATACGCCGTGCGCCTTTGTCTTTTCCTATACTGGATTTCAATCTTTGCGGTCGTTCAATCCACGCATGAGTTCACGAACCAGTTTGCTGTCCATGTTCCCGGAGGCGCTGATGAAGCCAAGAAGGTCGCTGCTCGTCACGGCTTCGCCTTCCATGGCCAGGTAAGCCCGCGTTGCGCTTTTTTGAGCTTCTGTGCTAGTGTTGACCTTCTTTCTTCCACCAAGGAAGTACAACTACTTATTATAATTTCTCCAACCCTCCATGGTTCACGAGTTCCCATACATTAACGAATAATGCATCGCATCCTTGACAAAGAAATTTAACCTGTGTAACGATGTGGCATACGCATTGTGCTACCTCGTTTATATTGTTGCGCGGAAGGTTTCATACCGGTATATTCCGTGAAACCGTTCGTCTATGTTTTATTCATGCTTTGATATTCATTGTCGCTCCTGTTCGATGAATTAGTTTTCGAAACGTGACGTGGCTATCAAGTTTGTGTCATCGCTGAGTTGTCCGTTGTGGCATCACGCTTCGCATCTCTTCCTGGCCATGTAACATCTCGCTTGATCAGATCTGATTGTCCTTGAGGCGCCCGTATGGATCATCCATATAATTTTTGTCGCGTTCGACCTACTTACACAATGTCCGTCATTAAAAGTTTTTAATGCTCCCGAGCGACGGGTTCAAACAAGTTGGACAATTTTGAAAGGGACTCCACTTCGCAATAGTCGTTGTCCTATTACAGTATTGTCTGCTGGCGAAGATAAAATACTTGTCTGTCGTCATTCAGAACGTTTCTTTCAGTTAAATATTTTCGCGTCAAGTCGCTCTTATTTCAAGTCTCGCCTTGTTCAGGCGACTTGAAATAAGTCGCTCTCATTTCACGACTCCTTGTACAGGCAGAATTATTTTTTTCTTCGTCGATTCTGCAGCGGATGCGTGACGGTTCCGGGGTGAGAAGTGTGATGCTTTTTTTTTTTTGCTCTTCATCCATGCTGGCTTTGTCTGGTCCGGCTTCCGTGTGTGACAAATTCCTGTTCCCCGGTTTTTCAGATCGGAGCGCTGGAGAATTACTACCTTTTCGAGCACAACCACGTTCACAAGCGTTCGGCCGAACCGAGTGAACATCATCATCAGAAACTGAATGCGGAACCAGATGTGAGTTTAAATTTATCATTGTATATTTGGTGGGGCCAAGTTGCGTCCTTGTCTGGGCGTGGCGTATGTGTTTCTCAAATTACCGCGTCCGGGAACATGTCCTTGCTTGCGGGTCAGCATCTTTATACTAGTTGTGTTGGCCCAGCTGATCATGGACTCTGACCCGGGGCGAAGACCGATAGGTTGCAGTTCACTTTTCTCTCTTTACCCTTGGTTAGAAATGATCACGCGCAGCCTTTTTTGAGTTGATAGTGAGGTAGTTGGCGTTAATGATCAGCGCTTCGTGTTTTCGCGTGCGTGGTGGAGGGCAAACAGCGTTTTCTTCCGTCCGCGACTGTTTTTATGCGGATACCGCAGTATGTTCGCGAGAAAAATACGCGTGTGGGTTGTCTGAATCAACACTGATCAGCGGTATGCTTTGAACTGATTTAGAAATATGACGATTGGCACATTCCTCTCTTGTCTCCAAAGCAAATTTTCCCTCGTTTCATCTGATCTGAGTAGAATAATCCGGTCTGTATGAACGCGGTTCCCTCCCATTCCACGTGGACCTGGAAAGATAAGGTTATTTGTCCGTTATTCTAAAGATTTATTTTTCATGTCCGTTTCAGTCGGCGAAGTTGACGTCTCAGCTGTAGATTCAGACAAGATAAATTGGTTTTTGCGAAACTGGAGTCTCTGTTACGTGAAGCGATCTGGGTCACGAGACTTTTTCTTTTGATTATCGATCATGCCCCAAAAAGTATCCTTCAAATTAGACCGACACAATTTAGTCGTCGCATTACAAATGAAAGGCTCTCGAATGAAAACGATTGTAGGTTTGATGTGAAGCTTGAAGCTGTTCTCGATTTCGATTGATACATGAAATACGGCGTCGCAACTTCATCCCCATTTTCAGTAATGCCTCTCTTACTCCTGTATTGGTCCTTGCAATTGGAAATTATAGATATGCAAACTAAAATTCATTTTAATAATTGAAAGTGAATCATTAGAAATCGCCTGACTTGAGAAATTTGCCGGTTCGCGAGATCTATATCAAAAACTATGAGCATGATTTTGACAATCGTTCTTTTCCGAAAACGGAACTCGGCTTCGCTACTTGCTCTGCTGTCTATGGTCATTTGAAAAATGGGATCTGAATTGAACAGAAGAGTGGTGTTGAAATACAGTATAAATCACGGACCAAAAGATCGTTTCAGAGAAGCTTCATGGGATATACAAGTATATCGGCAGTTCGAATGAATGACGAAAAAACACATTTACGTGTTTTTTTCGTGTGTGGATCGAATATAAAACGATTACTTCTAGAAAATAAATCGGACAATCGCCATTGAATGAAGGCGATTCGTGGAATGTATTGAGAAAAGAAAATCGCTACAAATGTGAACAGAAAGCTCGCCCGACTTGTATGGCCCGTTTCTTCACAGTTGAATTCAAGTACTGTAGTAATATAGTATATTCCAAAATTCCCAATTTAAGTTTATGCACTTTTCTTTGCGAAGTTGCCTTTTCCAACGCCTCGGGTGAACAAATGTGTGCTTGAATCAATTATGTGAGGGAAACGTTTGATCGTACAGGGGTTGACAGGGTGCGTCTATAATTTTTATCCATGGCTGGTGGCTTCAAATTCATTGGGAATTTTCTCAGTTCAAAGGCAAACACCAGGCTTGCGTTAAAATCTTGAATTTTCTCCAATATTTGACCTCACTAAGAGAAAAATAATTTTAGTGGGGAGGGGGCAAATTCAGGCAACCAGCTTTTGATCAAATTGCAAACCTATTTCACAATTAGTCCTGAACATTTTTAAATTTCTGTGTTTAATGTGAATAAAATATCCACTCAAAGAATCTGTCGCCCAGGAATCATTTTTCGTCTCTTGAAGAATGGCAAGTGATAAAATAGTGCATGGGAATTTATAAAAATTCTCGATTGTCAAAAGTCATTTTGAACTGTAAATCAGTTTTCCGAGGCTACTGTGCACATGCTTACACTGGCCCAAGTTGACATTTGAGTATAGACCCTCGAAGGATGAAAAGCATATTTCCTTGTATGTTTGATCCAGACTATTGGACTACCGATGTCAATTCCTTTTAAACTACAGTACAAATGAGACAATTGATAAAAATTTTCAGTTTCATTTTAAGATTTTGCCAATCTTGTGCATTGAATAATTTCAAAATGGGTTTATTGTTTCCTGCTCAACCTGTACGCATAGTGTGCTAGATCCCCATTCACTGTTTGACTTATCTTTTTCGAGACTTTTCACAGTTGAACTTGGGGTGTTCGAAACGATCAGCTCTTCCTAAACATTTCCCACCATGTTTATTTTTGCCGACTCAGGTTTTACGACGAACTGTGAAAAAATGTACCAGTGCGACACCCTGAACATTTGCATCTCCGGTGAATTCAGAGTTCATTTTCCGAAAGTACAGGATAAAGTTTCAATGTAAGGAAATATAACAAGAAGTTACTCGAGCCTTCTACTATGACGCCTTCAGATGATCTTCGGTGATTTTGAATAGTGCATAATGAATTTGTATAGTGCCCTGAATTTCGAATACTCCGGTTTTATTGAAAATTTCAAATTTTTTTCAAGCACGGCATCCGCAATCTTTTTAAACTCAGCGAACATTATTTTTTACCTTGAACATGGTGTTCTGTTCTTTCGTCATTGACGCAATGGCTGAAGTATTCGCAATTCTATTGAATAATTATGGCGTTCTCTTTCGATGATATGCTGAATCCCAGTTGAGAAATTAGCTGCTCGAAATCTGGCTTATGCGACGATCCCTGGGCGAGTGACTTAATCCTCGGCCGAAGAAAGTGTCAAACGCAGGCTCGAAGGCCCTTTGAAGTTTTGTATCAGCCGCCCATCCTGGTCCCCCGCCAGCGGGAAATTTTATCTCTTTTTTCACAGGGACATCCTTCTTGATCCGGAAGTTCCTATACTGTATCTGCGGTGCCGATTCTGGCGCCCTTCAAGATAATGATACCCCATATTGCAGGTTTCACCTCGTGCAAGTTTTTACTTTCTTCCGTGGTGTAAACGAATCTTAGCTAACCGAACAGCTGACATGAAGATTAAGGCTGACGGCCCCGACACAGCGGCCCTGACTTTCCACCGCAAGAATATGGGATTCTCCTTTTTTCCCCGAAATTTGAACTTTTTTCTTTGCCTTCAACCTCAGCATGAACGAAAACTTCGGTCGAGTGTCCGACTGGTTTTCTGTTAACCTGATTTGTTGACTTCGACGAGTCGATGCCCGGATTAGTGTTCAAATCTGCTTCGCGGTAGACTGATTTCAACGAACGATTCGAGGTGGGCGAGAAATGGCCTCGGTTTGCAAAATGAGTATGTTGTGCATTGCGTAACGAATTCCGAGGGTGAAGTCAATTCTGGCGCTGTGTAGCATGACGGTCGTTTCCAATCCGATAGGTGAAAAATGGCTTCCATCAGACAGGATTCCACGTATACGGGATGATTGTTCGGATGTGCTGACGATCAGGGGGTTGAATTAACGTGGGAAACTGTAGTGTTCGCACGTGCTTTTTAAATGGAGGAAATCCATCGCGCATCCTTTGTCGACAACCCGTCAATATTTGTGCAGACAAGCAAACTCCAGTTTGGCTCGGGTTGATTATATATGCGTACCAACGGTCCGTGTTCCACGGGATTTTTGTCGGACGAAAAGCTATATGACGGAAAAACGAGATAAATTGTCCGCGCGAAGCGCAAAATTCATCATTCATTGTTCACGATTTGGAGGCAATTGTTTCCCTATTCTCATTCGCACCTTTTTTCCATCCGGTGATTTCACCCATGAATCGAATCAACAATTTGGCAACTATTTTCTTCAACAAAAAAAATTTACGTGGCACTCGTTCTTCGAATTCGTGTGAACGGAATTTCTGGTAGTGTTGCATCGTCACTTTTCAGTAATTGTATTTTTCTTGGTAAGACGTTATTCAAGAATGTATTTCTTCCAGCTGACGTGGGCATCCTCTTAATTGTTTAGGTTGCATGGTTTGAACAACAAGTGAACAAAAAGAGAACAAAACGTGACTATGTCCTGCCGGACGTCGATGAAATGCCCTGGGAAGCTGCTGGGATCCTGGAAGAATCCGATCGCCTCAAGCGCTTCAATAGCGGAGTTTCGTTTGGCAGCGTTCCGCAACCGAGTCATGCAGATTTCCAGCGTTCCGTTTCCCCCGCTAATGCAGTCACGGGTTACACCAATTTTCGAGATCCCTTCTACACGGAACAGTGGTACTTGGTGAGTTTGTTCAGTCCCATACTCGCTCTCTACCCTTGCGTCGATCGTGTTGAATGAAGATGACATAGCCGTCTTTCCTTTCAAAATTTAAGTAATTCTTCACGCGCACACTTGCTCGATATGCCTACCTAAAACTTGGTAATGTTAGTTCGTTCAACTTCGTTGCGCTGATTATGTTGAACTTCACAGCAGTTTTCCAACCTTCTCGATTCCAGAAGCCTATTTTTACCCTACAGTACATCGCATTTCTACGGTTTCAACCTTTTAGAATTTCGTTGAAATGTTGGAACCCCTCTTAAGCCCATGTCGTGGTTTCTAAATTATTTCTGGCCTCAACAAACTTCAGCTCCCATGTCTTGTATGTTATACTTTTTTATAAGCGATAGTATAATAGGGTCATAGTTCGCCACTAGTTGCAGACGTACATGTCTTTGTGTATTAATTCTGGTAAACATTTCTCGGTTTTGAAATCAGTCCACTGTAATCGCCATGGAGCTCGCGACCGAACTAATTTCAAACTTTAAGTTATTCTAGGGAAAGTCTTCGTGGTAAAAATAATTTTAGAGCTGTAGGGGATGCGAAACTCTGAAGCCGGTCGTTTGCCAATTGCTCCGAGGTATAATCGTCGTTTTAAATGGTGACGAGCTAGTCATTTTTTTTAGGTAATTTCGTGGATGAAATGTGATTACGACTCCCAGCTATTGCACATTCTGCGATATTATTTATCCTACTAGCATCAATTGATCGACTTTCAGGAAATGAATGCCTATGCTCACATAGTTTCATGTTCGTGAACTACTATCGTTTCCATCTCCGATCGCTCGTGAATTAATTTCACACAAGTGCAGAATTTTTGTGTACGGATCGTATACGTAGGAAAGTCGCTATTCCATTGTCGCCTCGTTGAATTGGACTGCGACTGATGTAGGGCACGTTTTCATGACTGTAGTGTTTGCCGGAGGAGCAAGTTCAGAATTCCCAACCTTCGTTGACGGAACTGGAATCCAACTCTGTCGAACGACTGAAGGAGTCTAGAAACGAATGAAGATTGTGGTTGTTCGAAACGGTTCCGAGTTTGCCGAGATGAGGCTTCCAGAAACGCAGCTTCTAAGTTCTAACGATTTGAATCTCTGATTCCATCTAAATGATTCATTATTGGGACTTCGCGGAAAATTTTGTTTTCATCACGTTTCTTCATTTTAGCCTTGATTTCCGTTATTTTCCGTTAAAGTGGCTGTCGTCACATGAAATTATCTCATCGCTGAATTTCATTGACTTGTTAACCGATTGTGATCTAGAATTATACAAGGGTGGCGAAATATGACCGTTCATGAAGTTTCACTGGGTCTCGGTCAACGCTTCTAGTTATCCGACTTCATCCTTGTAAGGTGTCAGAAAATCTGTTATGTGAACCGATCGTATCTGGAGCAGAACCTTCTGAAAAGGCAACGTGTAGCGTGATCATTCCTTCAGGTCGCGTCGATGTTCCAGAGAAAGAGGTCAGAGCATATTCAATAAAGGTGTATCATTAAAATAGTGTGAAGTTTAGAAGATATTACGTCGAGGGGATGTGATTAAAGTCTTGACGAGTCTGGTTGGTTTGTCATGGCGATTACGCAAAGCGTGCTTGAGCACTGTTGAAATTAGTATGGCCATGAAACTGGGCTTCGTTCTGTGTCCTCGGAGCCGTTTCGTCATCTCCGAAGCGATTCAATGCACCCGCCAGTTATAGAGGTCTTGAACGATGGTTATCGCTTCCAACTGCCTTCTGTCTGCAATTCGTCTAGGATCAGAATAACTTCTGGTCTCCTCCTCCCCGTATGCATCCTTCTTTGCAGTTCCGTAATGAAGGGAATTAAAGTCATGACCGAACCAATCGGAAACATTTCGTAGACTGCAAGATACCTTCCTTGATTCAATTATTGCATTTCAATGCGTGATTTCCGGAAGCTCACGTTGCTGGCGAAATCTGTGATGTAACCAGGGATGCGTAATATGTTGGTCGGATTGAGGCGAGGACCGCTGAGCCTCGTCATCAAATTTCGTAATGGGCTCACCTTCTAACGAGGGTCGCGCTGTATCGACTCCGGGATTCTTCTGATGGTGCAAGGTTCATGTTATTCCCTTTAGCATGGCGGCGCTCGCGGAGGCTATGACATGAACGTCATCAGTTGTTGGAAGCGTGGATACTCGGGCAAAGGAGTAGTTATCTCTATATTGGACGATGGCATTCAACGCGACCATCCGGAGTTGGCACTCAATTACGTAAGTTCATTATTAAAAAGGCTATGAGCTGGTTTTTCCTCGATCCTGTTATTTGCCTTCTTATTGATGAGACTGTCTTGTTTCAATATTAACATTCAGTGAGCTGCTGCTTATTAGAATTGGTGATGAAAGCTGACTCGGATTCTCTTTTCATGATGACGCGCGAAGTAGCGCTTGTATGGGGTGATGAATACTGTATGATCACTTCGATATTCTTTTAATACATGGATATTGTTTGTGTTGTCCGTGTTACTTTTCAGTTATTCAATTGTCATTGCCTCATGCGCAGGAAGCACCTTTGTTCAGGCTGATCATTAGCCGATGCCAACTTCATCGCACAATTGCGAAAGATTAACGTACTGTATAGGTGTGGGATTCTAATTTGTGTCTGCGTTTGATGCCTGAATGAGTTCGTCGCTCTAGCTGTTTTATCCTGATTTTTATGAGATTTAATTTTTTTTTAAGAATTCTTGAACATTTTTCGAAATTTCATGACGTTAAAACCAGGTGGTGGTCAAAAAATTATTTCGAAAATTTCAGAATTGCTTCCCCGGCTATGTGCTAAATACCTTCCGACGATTTTTATCCGAATTGAATGACCGCGTCTCAGGGGGCCCACTGAAGATTTTTGCATGCTTATTTTGGCCGAAATTTTTTTGGGAATCCTTAGTTTCACAGAAATTGACGATTTTGCCAACTTTCCTCAATATGATAGGACCCATACGCGAGCTTTGATATCAACGACAAAGATCCCGACCCGATGCCGCAAGACAATGGGGATAACAAACACGGTACAAGGTGTGCCGGTGAAGTATCCGCAGTTGCGGATAATGACGTTTGTGGAGTCGGTATTGCGTTCAACTCTTCCATCGGAGGTGAGAAAACTTGCCACACATTTTTCCTTTTTCCTTAAATCCGTGGGATGGCTGAGCAGTTTCTTCTGGGCTGTTGCACCTATTAAATGTCCTTCTTGTAACATTCATTGTGATGTCCCTCCGGGGTATTTGAAAGGTGTGAGAATGCTGGATGGGCCTGTCAATGATGCAGTTGAGGCCCACGCATTGAGTCTGAATCCTGACCATATAGATATTTATTCTGCCTCGTGGGGTCCGGAGGATGACGGGAAAACAGTTGATGGGCCGGGGCCACTTGCCAGGCGAGCTTTCATCAACGGCATCATGAAGGTTCGTTACACCTTCCTTACTTTCCTTCAGCAAATGGCGTGTCCACAATTTTTCGTAGCTTTTATGTGACGGAGTGTGACAGTCAAAAAATAAAATTCTGGCTTGATATTGTAACAGTCTCCGTGAGAAAAGCGAAGACTCGTGCTCCCATAGAAACCTCGCTTCTCGCGTCAATTTAGAAGAATGATGAGTCTCTCCGCGTTGATTCGCTTTCTTTTTCGCCTGCGCGTAATATGGAACAGATGAATGAACGACTTCGATGGGTTTGGTCTACACGAGCTTCGTCTTTTCGCACACCTTGTCGATTTTCATCGCTTCGGTGTCGTTTCTAGAAAGCCGGTCCCTCGACAGGCGTTCTCCGTTGCACGAGTCTGAAGACTTATTGTTTACTTGACAGGGACGTAAAGGGAAGGGATCTATATTTGTTTGGGCATCTGGAAATGGAGGGCGCCACGTGGATAATTGTAACTGTGACGGCTACACAAATTCAATATTCACGCTGTCCATTTCATCCGCAACTCAGAGAGGGTGAGTATTCCAGCCATATACACCGATGTTGTCGCATTTTGAATAATTAGGGACGTCGAACTATTTCATTTTTGCAAGTAGCGTTATTTTCAGCCTTCTATCAATTTTCAGAGCTAGTGTCGTTCGGCCACCCTACGAGTTTTTTTTTTTTCACGATCTAAACCAAGGAGGGCTGACGAATAAAAATGAAGCGTTACCTGTTCAATTTTTTTTTATCCGACGGGTTGTGCGCTCATCCCATATGTCACTTTTTCTATCCGAATCGATGTTGAGTCGTAACTACTCTTCTGTTCTTGTTTTCACTGTTATTGTGGAACTTTCATTTTCGACCGTCGATCTCCTGATATGAAGTCGAATAATAATGGGGCGGAAGCTGGAGAGCCTAGTGTTGTAGATTTTTGTATAATTGTTTAATGTTCTATTGAGCTTTGTATGGTTACTGTTTGCATCAAGCTATATCACAGGGGTTATCGAAAAAGAAACCTTCGCTTTTCGTAACATAAGATTGGGCTGGTTAGATTCTTCTGGTCACTTTCCGGCAGCAATACTGTAGCTTTCTAGTTTAGGAAACTACACAGTAACTTAAGTGTCGTGCATGCGTCAGCATAGTGAAGTAAGCTAGTCGATTTTGCTAATGCTGGAAATGTGATGTGCGGCCCCCTTTCTCGATCAGATGTAATGTCGATTAGCGAGCTTTTTTTATCGCGTTCTCCGTGCACGCCTCATCTTACAAAATTGAACGTTAAAATGATGCATTTCATGCTTGTTTTACTTTCTGCATGAATAGTTTAAAGCCATGGTACTTGGAAGAATGTGCTTCTACTCTCGCAACGACGTACAGCTCAGGCGGCCCTTCTTCAGACAAGAGCGTCGTGACTTGTGACCAGGACGCCAGATTACGGCCTGATCGAATGTGTACAGTGGAACACACAGGTATCCTCTTGATGCGCACCTCTCACGATAGTCACGAAATTCTGTTAAACAATCTTTATTTTTGCTGATAGGCACTTCTGCAAGTGCGCCAATCGCCGCTGGAATTTGTGCTTTGGCTCTGGAAGCTAATCCAAATTTAACTTGGCGTGACATGCAGTATTTGGTTGTCATGACGTCACGCCCAGAGCCGGTGCTTGGAGAGCGGGGATGGATTGTAAATGGCGTGAAGCGGAAAGGTATCCCATGTTTTCTAATATTTGTTCTATTTTCTTGACGCTGAACGTCTTCCCGCCAGTGAGCCACAAGTTCGGCTACGGTATGATGGATGCTGACGCGATGGTTACTCTTGCGGAGAAGTGGTCAACTGTCCCTTCTCAGCACATCTGTCAGTCCAGGCCCGATAAAAATCAGAGGTGAGTGTCTTTTTTAAATGGGTCGTCCAACCGCGCTCCCGCATGTGTCCTCCCATTTCTAGACTTTCTTCTCATGTGATTCTCATTCAGCAAGAATCCATACTTTAATCCATCACTCATTATTTTCCTTATTTGTGTGTGGCTGAAGAAGCACGTAGAAATGGCTGTACTAACTTTTCTGTGCGCGTGGGAAGTTGAGAAAATCAAAGTTGTGTGCGTTAATTTAGCTCGCAATGGTCGTGAGAATCGTCTGTTCTTTGTCCGGCTTATTTTCCGGATTCGATTCTCTAGAACAATACCTGCTAAATATGGAGGGAAAATGGAAGCTTCAATGTCGCTGGATGCCTGCGCTGGAACGCTGAACGAAGTTCGTTACCTGGAGCATGTTCAGTGCAAAATCTCCCTGAGATACTTGCCGCGTGGGAACCTGAGGATTCTGCTGACTTCGCCTATGGGAACAACGTCGACGCTTTTATTCGAACGCCCTCGGGACGTCACCAATGCAAATTTTGACGAGTGGCCCTTTCTGTCCGTGCACTTCTGGGGCGAAAAGGCAGATGGTACTTGGGTCCTGCAAATCATCAATGCCGGAGAAAGACGCGTTGCTCATCCAGGTAAACAGCAAAGAAAAGTTACGTTTGTTGTTGGTTTCTTCGAGCTTCGATGCCTGCGTTTACGGAGAAATCGACTTTTTTGTTGTTCGGGATTTGAATTTGATTTCTTACTTTCTTCGTCCAGTTGCCATTTTTATTCGTAAAAGAAACTGTAGCGTTTTCGAGACAGCCAGAATAACTTCAATTTACAATTGTGGCTCAAGTTCGGACTCGTCCGATGAATTAAGAAAGCCGTTATCTGGACGTTTTGAAGCTGAGCTTTATATTTTCACTTCAGTATTAAGTCGTTTATAGAATTTTTTCGATGGAATTTCATCGCGAAGCAAAAACATTTTATGGCCAGGTTTTCAACTGAACATTCGATGAAAAAAGTGAATGTCGTTTCAGGCTTGCTGCGGTCATGGCAATTGATTCTGTACGGAACCGACATCAATCCGGTACGTCTGCATTCAGCAAATGCGAGAGGGAAGGGCTTAGTTTCGTCGTCCGGCGGATCGGCGGAATTTGCAGAATCATCTCAATCCGCTTTCGGCTCGACAGTAGATCCCTTCCAACCTCCAGTTTCCCCATATATCCGACCCACGAACCCTGCTCAAGAGTTTTCCTCTGGTTTCTTCCAGCTCCGCAGTAGTTTCCCTAATATCTTTACACTCTCCGGGAGTTCGAAGGTAAAATAACGTGATTGCCCAACTTTCGGCTCTCTCAGGAAATGGAAATCTCCCATTTAATGCAAGGTTTAAAGTTTATTCATGCATCCTGGTAATTATTCGAGCAGGGAAGAGGGAGAAGAGATAGATCGAAGAATTCTCGGACTGAAATTTGTTCACGATCTATCTTAATTTTGATATCCGGAAGTCACCCTGTCCGAAGCTTCGTGCACTGGGATTATTTTATATCACCTTTTGAGCACTGGACGAGTCGGGCTTCGTGTGAGAGCTAATGTTTCTCTGGCACTTGCTCTTCATTCCGGCACGCGTGATGAGCTGTGAAAGTGTTTTCAATCATTTTTATTTATCCATCTCACTGTCTCGTTAAGTTTCTTCCTACGTCTCGCTCACATTTTCTGCAAGGTTTTAATAGGTTTCGATTTGCAGCTCACTCCCGAAGGCGGTCGGCCTCGGTGGCAGTCAATATTCAAACGTACGACTCAGCTTAAGTTTCCTATCTCGAGGAACATTTCTTCCTTTACGGTACGCGTATCTTCCGCATTGCTTTATTGCTTTACTCCACCTTCAGTCGTCCCTCATGGTTTCCGGGGAATACTTGTTTCTTTTGTCTGGTCGTGCATTTTTCCTGACTTGACGTTCAGACGATGTCTTTCACTCGGGATTTGGAGACAAACTTGACGAGACTTGGATGGCAGATACGTTTAATGATCGTGGAATGTCAAGCGTTTTTGTTCAGCACATTTGTTTCCTTAAATCTTCAAGTTTGGGTATTTCTCGAATGTGTGTGGATGGGTGTGAAGACCGCCGAATGGGTAGGATCATTTTGACCACCTTGAATTTTTCTGTGGGGAACTTCGATGTTTTTTTTTTTTTTACCGTGTTCCATGGACTAAAGAGGAACTTCACCTTATGCACTGGAGCTTGACTCTTCCGTTTTACGTAACGCAACGAAACTCCCGTAAATCGGTGATGGTTAGTTGAGGAAAGTCGGTTGTATATACTGTTGGTTTGCCTTGCTTCCTGGGACTGATGATATGGGGACACTGGAGGGGTTGGACCTTACCTGAATTACATCCTTTGTTCGACCCATCAGAAAAAGCCGAGTTCGATTGTACAAAAATTTGGTTCTATCCTCTTTCGTCAATGCTTGAACCCTGCGGTCTCCGGTATCGTAACAAAATGCTTTGGAATTAGAATCGCTTGCGACGCGTGTCCGAGTGCGATCACACACCGTTCTCAATGTTACGAGGGATGACATGTTCCTCATTTGAGGGAGTAATCCAGTCCTGTTTTCTTGTAATGGTAATAGTTATCCTACCCATGCGGATTGGTGCGTGTATTTTTTTTTGCACCCGGACATATGTGTCGCAGGATCTCTTGTAATATTCAGAAAGGATTTGCTGAAGGCCACCTTTTCGTGACTAGCGTCCGTTTCTGTACATTCATCGTTCTTCAGCAATTCCTTCTTGTGTGTCGTTTTCTTGCATGAGCTTGCTACGGTTCCTGCCGCTCGTACTGATTCATGTGTTGTGCGATTTTAAGTGTTGAAAGTCTTCCGTCCGCGTACTGATTGTTCAAATCCGTCCGAAGTGTAGTAGATTTATTGCTGGAGACAAAGCGCTCATATTCCGAGGTGCTAGGAAGCTTCCCTGATTTTCTGCCAAAATTTTGGGGCGAGACGCGCAACATCTGGATCTAATATTCAAATTATCCGTGATATTCTCAATAATTCCTTGCGTCATAGCTTTTGTGTATTTTTATTGCGTTTGATGGTTTTCGGGAGAATGTTTGAAGTTTTTGCTTTTATTGACATGGTATTTGATTTCTTTGCACTTATGGGCTCACTAATCGGGAATCAGTCCTTTTTGTAGGCCCGGTTGATTTGCACTAAAAACCGCACAAACACTGGACGTGATCGATAGGTCAAATTTACGAGTATTTTAAACTCATCTCGAACTCCTTGAAATGAGTCAAGTCAAAAGTAATTTGTCAGAGATTATGGGAATGATGCGGCAGAGAACCATGGAAACGGCGCACAAACCCGAATCCTTGAAAACCCCCTGTCTTGCTCCTGAATTCGGACGAAAACCCTCTGATCCCCTGCTGGTAGGTAAACTCTGCAAATGTCAGCGATTTGGCTCTTGACTCTGTTGCTGAAACGACCGTCGTCTTTGACAAGACTGCCTGTCATCCCGAATGTGACGGCGGCTGCACTGGTCCTGGTGCGATGAATTGCATTCGTTGCAGAAACGTCCAGTTTAATAAGTTAGTGTTCCTTTAAGGCTTTGAAAGCACTAAACGTTAACCAGTCTTATTTTCACAGAGAATGTTTGAACGAATGTCCTTTCGGAACATCCCCCAATTCAAATGGAAGTTGCTCGCAGTGCCACGCATCTTGTATTTCGTGCACCGGACCTGGAATCAATCAGTGTTTGAAGTGTCCCACGGACAAGTATTATGTGGCCGATGAGTCGCTTTGTGTGGTTGTGTGTCCCGAAGGTTATTTGGCAGGTATGTTTTCAGCAACGGAAGCGTATTTTTTTTATAATCCAAAAAGTTTCATTAACACTTCTTTGAATTACATCCCTTTCTTTCCAAACAAGTATGTTATTTTCAAATTCAATTAATTTGTTGATTATTTCGTGGTACTGTAGATTTATATTCAATTTTAAGAGGCATTGTAAAGATGCACATATTCAGTCGGAAGAGGCATTTTATAGATAGTTGGTTGGAGAAAGTACTGTCGAGATTTTCAATTTTGGGTGAATAAGTGAAGAGTTGAATTTTATTTCACGATTCTCGTGGACAAGCAGTTCGAAATTGTTTGCTGAACTTAACCAATACTGTAGTTGAACATTTTGCTGATATCGCTTTTGCAGATGAAGGAGCCAAGCATTGCATCGCTTGTGGCCCACACTGCTTGTCCTGTGAAAGATCTGTCGGCACGTGCTCAAGCTGCGATCATCATTTAGTTCTCATTGAAAATAAATGTTCGTCTTCGTGTCCTGTGAAACATTATCAGACACCGGAATACAAGTGAGAAATAATTTTCACATTCGTTTCGTTACTGTGTGCGCATGCAAGTTTCTTATTCGCAGGTGTAAGCCTTGTCATGTGTCATGCTTGACATGTACTGGAAAAACCAACAATCAATGTGTAACATGTCCTTATCCATCCAAACTCTGGGAGGGTACCTGCGTTCCTGATTGTCCGTCAGGGACATATGCCGATGAAGATAAGTCGATGTGCTTGAGATGCAAAGCTGGATGCGAGAGATGCACCGAGTATCATTCATGCGATCGTTGTTTCAAGAACCTCGTCAATGGTACCGACGACGGATGCACTTTCCAAAATAAGAATGAATGCATGAAAGGTATTCAAAGCTTTCACTGCGAAATTAAGGGCGGAGAAAAAAGGAACTTACGTTGAACGCTTAACCTGTTCATTAATTTTCAAATGAATAGCTAGATTTCATTCTTTAGTTCCGTTGATAATTTGTGATTTAATCCATCAGCGAGTGTCGTGATTGATCCGGGTGATAAGAAATGCCTCTTATATGTTTTGTTCAGGTTCCTTTCCTGACACCGAAGGATGCTCGCGATGTCATCCGGGATGCGCAACCTGTTACGGGAAGAATGCAGATCAGTGTTTGTCATGTCCAGCCTCATTGTTTCGTTTGGGTTCCACTTGCACTGAGACCTGTCCAGCAGGATATCGTCAGCAAGGTTCAGATTGTGTCGAGTGTTCTGCGGGTTGTGCTCGATGCCGTAACCTCGATGAGTGCCTCAAATGTTCTGAAGGACTACATAGACAAGGTGGTTCATGTAAAGTTTCATGCGAGTCAGGGTAAGTTGGCGACCTTGTTATTTTGAATGAAATTTTCTAATTGCACAAATGTTCCACTAGCTAGCAGAAATATCCGAGAGTATTTACGCTGAATCCAGCATAGCTAATGGAATACATGGTTCGCAGGTATTTCAGCGATCGAGGCGATTGCAAGAAGTGTAGTGCATCATGCTCCACCTGTAGCGGCCCCAAACCGTCAGACTGCATTACCTGTCATTCGGAGTCACGTTTTGCCGATGGAACTTGTGTAGCAGAATGTGCAAAAGGTAGTTTCGCTACTGACGTGGATGGCTTGAAGATCTGTGCGAAGTGTCATCGCTCGTGTACGGAATGCAGAGGTCCGAAGATTACAGATTGCTCAGCATGTCCACCGAATGTCTCTCTGAATGCCGGAATCTGTTCTCCTTGCACTGGATCGCAGTACTACGATCAGGTACGATACCAATAAGACAAAATTGAAAAATCGTTCTGTATTCCGGAACGTTTTATAAATTCGAACTTGAAAAAGCGTTAAACCTCAGTAGAGTAGAAAAAAGTCCATTGACCAATCTGTTCATCTGTACGCGTGATTGTCTTGAAAAATGATTGTTGGACAGATTTATTTAAATGATTCCTTGTGTCAGAAGTTGAAATCTTCCTTGGTCCTCGAGAATGACAGATTTTATTAAAGTCGATTTCATTCAAGGGTACCGGATCATGTAAAACTTGTCATGCCAAATGTCAGACCTGCAACGGTCCGGACGAGTTCAGTTGTTCATCATGCCTGAAACCGCTGACTTTGGATCCCCAGCAGGGTAGATGTGTCCCTTGCTGTTCGCCGCGTTCTCAAAGTGGCTGTTGTCAGTGTGATAGTAGCGGTGAGTGAGAAGCACTGTACCTCCAGTCGACTTGGGTACTGTACCTAACGATTACGTATTTATGCTGAAAGGAGGTTGTGTGAACCCTGAGCACCACACGAGGTATGCTTACGATCCAGCTGAGCGACTCATTCACGATCAAATACCGCAAGAGCAGTCTTCCTTTTCCACGCCTGGCGTCATAGCTGCTGTGTTCGTTCTAGCATTCGCCGTTACAGGTGTCTACGTAATATACCGAAAGGTGAGTTCGTAAAGAAATCGTTGTTCCGGTGGAGCTGAAACTTGGTTTCCGTTGAACTATCTCCAGGTCCGAAGTCGAGCGAGCAAATATACGTATCATCAACTGCCCGTCAACGCCCGGTCCAAGTCGAATTTGCCAGTGAGCGACCTCTCGTGGAATCCGAACAACGGGAGTGACATTCGCTTCGGCGGTTTGGAATCGGAAGAAGAGCTAGAACAATTAGAGTTCATCAAAGCTTGAGATACTCATGGACGTATTCGCTGATTAGCATTGACGGGAACGAGAAAACAAAAATTCATCAAAATTATGGCAGCAATATTGTGGTCGTCGCAGCGGCTTCGAGTCTAAAAGATAGCTTGAGTCTCATACCAGTGTTTATTTTCTGGCGTTTGACGCGTTAGGCTTGAATTTTATAATGAACATAGACAGGCTAAATTACTTTCTCCTGAAGGTAATGCACGGGCTGCGATGCGCACGACGGCGCGAGAGTATTTTTTTTATACTGGTGAAGAGTGTTTGTTTGAAAATCGTGCGAATCAAAGGACGGTATGTTATTTTCAATCGGTGTGAAGATCGGTGTTTTTGAGCCGATCGAAGAGTTGTGCTATTTTTCACCAGCATTCGACATCATTCGTCTGTTGGAAATGTTTTTTTTTTTTGCATCGGGTGATAAGTGGAACGTTGGAATTAATCGATGCATTTTGGGTGAAAGTTATAAAGTAGGGGTTTCCGTGTCTTGTCACATCTTGCGCATGTGTACCTTCGTTGAGTGTCGTTCCATGTGGCGCCTCTTTGTTCACATACTTTTTTCGAGTGTGGGGCATTAGAATGATAGGTTCCAACATTTTGTTCGTCTGTTCACGGTTTTCTGCGTGCAACTCGTTTGTGGACCGTTAGAATTTAAAATGAACCCAATTCATACGGTTTATGCCCGACTTAGCTGCGCATGTGGGTTGTTTCACAGTTCGAGTTTCTTCGTCGCTCTTCCCCTCTACCCCTTGATCTTGGAAAAATACATTCCTGATACAGTCCTCTTCGTTTCTATTTGATTATCGGGCAGCGTTGAACTGCATGAGATAATATGCGTGGACGAATTGCGTTACCGTATGCAGACAGTATTTTATTTAGCAAATAAATAAATAAAATAGGGGTATGAATATTATTTTCTCTACACTATGGCTGTCTTCTGATTCAAACTTCGCTACATGTGGAACGTGACGTGTTTCTGGCGCTACGTTTTGTATGAACAGTGTACAGGGATGCAATAGCTTCTAATATGCACCGTCGTTGAAAGAGAGCTATGTTTGCCTAAGTGGGTGGGTGTCATGTGAATGGACGGAGCTACTCCGTTCCCCGATGGGTTTGAACTTGAAATATCAAGTTCAAGGCCGTCGTTCGCTGATCATTATCAGGGCATCTCGTGAGACGTGACGTGGAAGGGGCTCAGCGCCTTTTCGTTACTGAAGTGAGCTTTCCATGTTTGTCCGCATTGAAGTCTCAGTTCGGATAAGGATCACGTGCGTTTTTCAAAGTTTTGGGGACAGATGGTAGATTATGGGGTACCCAGGATCAGATCGAGCTGGGAGAAAATCTGAGGAGGTTTAAGCTGTCTTGCATGGGAATGTTACCCACCAGTTTTTTTTTTTTATTAACTGACCTGAGTTTCAAGTTGATGCCGACAAAAACAAACTTGAAAAGGGAGATGAAATCCATTGTTATCAGAACTCCACCTGTTAAATATCCTTCTTTTCAAGCAGTTCAATATTACTATACCAAGCCATCATTATTTAAAATTAAATCTGACGAGTCACCGTGATCGATTTCATGATGCTTATACTGGTTACTTGTTGGTCAAAACCAAACGGTATCATATTCATCTGGATTCAGAGTTTACTTGGGAATCAACAAAGACCTTCTCTCGAAATATGTTCAAGTTCTGTAGAAACGTTCTTATTTTGCAGTACAAAATATCTAAAGATACTGTTTATATGGTGGACTGGAAAGTTTAGGAATTACGTCGAAGACTAAAAACCACTTGGACATTATTTAAAAGCAGAACTCAGCCTCGGAGTACGTGAACCAATCTACTCTGAAAAAATCACGTTTTTTTCATTCTTTTCCCGCTATGTAAGCTATGTACACATTTTACTGTCCGCTGTATTATCTGTATTATCTAAAACCAAAAGATATTGATGCTTAGAAGTCTTCGAATAAATCAGAACTTTTCATTTGTTATTTAATTCAGCTCCAAGAATGTCGGCAGCAATTCCTGGATTTCTCACATTTATTCGATGTAGGTCCGATTTTCTTCTCTTTTGGTGAATTTTCGGGATATTTGAGCTTCCGAAAATGCGAAGAAAAAGACAATCGTCACAATTTTTCCATTCGTATTTTAATTTATTTCAATTCTTTCAATATTGAACATGGAGATAAACTTCATTCATCATTCAGAAGCCAACAATCTTCGAATTTATTTGAGATAAAATCTTAAAATTCACTTTTTTAGGTATTTTCAGTATGGAAACAAATTCCATGTCTGACATTTTATCGAACTACAGTTTTTTTTTTTTCATAGTACCTATATGACAAAACCATGATATTATAAATGAAATTATTAAGCCAACATATTCACAAGGGACCGAGTTGATCTCATTTGGGTATACATTCTCAGTTTTATTCCGCACATTTTGAGTAATGCGGATATACAGTATAGTCGCTTGAGAATGAAGTAACTCCAGCAGTACAACTTTACTGTGACTGTAGCTATAACTATAAAGCCGTCGAAAATCGTCCGGTCATTTTAGGTTAGGTGAAGATGCTCTCTTATAGCTTGATCAGAAACTAAAATCTGAGTGTATTAAAAGAGGGAGAACATTTTTCATTCACCAATTTTCATACAATAATTTTAATAAACATTGATGAATACATGACGGGGGGGGGGGTCATTCATTATAGTGCTGCTGGTCATTAAATGCATCAGTAATTCACGGAATGAAAGTGTTTTATTCCAGCCATGGGATTTTTGTTTTCCTCACACGAGAGGGCAATATCTGATCACATTTGTTTAAAGGGGTGAATTTTTCGGCAAGTCTGTGCCATAGCCAGAACTAAATCCAATCCACATTTGTCCGAGGTGCATTAAGGAAAAATAAAAATAATCCTTACTTGGACATTTTCTCACTGTGGAATCTGTATACAGGTGGTATACCTCGCAATTTGACGGTCAAATTTGCTGGGAGGTTGACTTGCAATTTGACCCTTGCCCCGCAATTTGACTTGCCTTTTCCATTGTTTTGCGTTTTTGTACGTATGTTTTGAATTGGATGTCTCGTAATTTGACCAATTCGCAATTCGACCCTATAGTTTGACAGCGGATTAGGATCGATTTACGAGGTACCACCTGGATATCCGTCCTCTAATCATGATAATGCGCAGGGAAACATCTGTATAATGATGGTATTCATGGACTTATCAATGTCCGCAAAGTGTCACTAAAAATGTGAGAGGATTATTATGCCGAAAACATAGTTTGACGTGAGCTTGTACATAGAGATAAAGTGCTTCGTTTTAACGTGAAGGTCCGATGCGAATCTGACCTTTCCTGTAAAATTTCCAGGATATTTGAGTTATCGTTCTAATTTGGGAGGGATGAGGCTGATCTGCCCCGAGATAACCCACAGCTTTTGCCGAGAACATTTGAAGATGAGAGTCTAGCGGTCGCAACGTACGAAAGCAACAGCGGACGTGCGGAAGGCATACATGCCACTTCAAAGAACAGCGAGAGGACTGCGTTCTCACGTACTCTCGGAACCTCCCCCTCCGTGCACACTAATACAGCACTGTACTGCTTATGTGCTGAAATCGGCGTGCCAATCGGGAAACAGCCAGCTGATGCGCGTTCGCCCCCTTTTCGCTTGTGATGATTGCAAGACCACCGATCGAGTTGTCACCATCGGCACTTTGTTCCACACTGGAAGGTCGAGCAAACGACAGGAACGAAATCGCTATTAAACCCACCTTTGAAAGGACAGGCGATGAATACTGTACCAGGGCTAATGACCGGGTGCATTTTTCCCTTAATCGAGTGCTATCTATTCAACAACAAATGGATTTTATCGGACAAATGAAATGAGCGCGTAAAGTATTCGAAACATTTAACAAATTTATTCAGTAAATCGCGATGCATGTTATAAAATAGTTTTAGACAGATGCCCGCAAACATTCAAGTGTAATATCGCGAGCATAAAATGTTGGTCAAAATGAAAAAAAAAAATGCCAAAGTTGAAGTATACAAGTTACTTCCTTTCCGCAGTCTAAATAATGAGTCGCAATTTGTGCCCAGATAAACGCAGTTTCTCTACCTAGTTTGCTTCAACCGCCTAAATCGGATAAAGATGATCTCCACGTCATGTTTCATTCACATACAGTCCAGTGAATAGTGGTAACGTTGTCATACACATTATACGAACCCCAATTTCCATTTCTTTACGTTCAAATTGCTTCATCGGGTTTTGCCGGGGCCCTGCAAGGACAGCGAAAAATAACATACAGTATTATATTGATTCATGAATTCTGTTGCTTTATCGGCCGATTTAGAATTATTAAACCCTTATTCTTGGTCTCGTCGAATAGTTTTCCTTCAGAAATGAAATAACTCTAACTGAAAAAATATATAACCAAAGATGAAACCGATACAGAATCCCAATGCGCCACGCCGAGAAAAACTGTACTTGGTCGATTTTTAACTGCATGAGCCGGACCAACAGTTCTGAGCATCGAGACGCATGCCCTGCACAAGGTACTTTAGTTTTTTTTTTTTTTTGGAAGGAAGAATCTTGGAAAGGATATTCGGAAACGTAGCTACGCGCGGGCATTTGCCGAAATTTGGCGAAGAGGGCAAGGAAAACCATCTCGGGGGGTTATAAGGGGTGGGAAACGATTCTCCATTGGGTAAGCCAATCGTACCCACACCCCTGGGGAGGAGGTTTGCATTCGCGGGTAGAGTAAGTATACAGTATACAGTATTTTCAATCTCTCGAGTCACTTATCTTCCAAACTCAGGTCTGGCAGAGCTCAGGTCCTTTCTCGAATTTTTGCGAGGCAAGGGCAATGCCGCTGATTCCCCATGTCTACAGTACAGCTTTTTCTTGGAACAGGCGTTATCACAGTGAGTGGCCCATTCCGAGATTATTTTCCCGCTTGCATTCGTTGAGAGATAAGATAATGGGAATCTGCGCAACTAATATGATTCTCTCGCGGCGCTGTTCTTCCGGAATTTAATTCCCCAGGTTGTTAATTGTTATGTCCAAACGCGGTAGTCCTTATGGCAGCAAAAGCGCTTAGCGACAGCAGTGGCGAATATTTACCCATTCCTGTGTCATGCATCCGTGACCCGCCCAAGTGGAGAGATGATCGTCGCTGTGAGAAAGTCCCCTTGGTGAAATCGGTCCCCTTTGTGAAATCGGATAGCTTTGTCCCTGCGAACAGCTATTCCACGTGCGTACTCTATTGAGAAGTTTCTAGGCATTTCACGCAGAACGAACATTAACTTTTTCCTTCAGATTTCCAACCTTGTTGGGAACTGCTGAAAGTAAAGATGAAGAGGAGTCGTCCAGTTGCGAGTTGAGCGATGAATGGCTTAAGCGACATTTCAGCGCCCGGAAGTTTCCCCGATCTACGAGACATGAGCCACAACTGTCCGAGCCGGAATTCACGCCAATGCCTCAGCCCTGGGGATTCAAGGAATGGGTCGCTTTTATTAGGACATGGTTCCGAATTGCTGTGATGGCGACTATTTGCTGCCTCGATGTCGTGAGTGTGACTCAGGCGGGGATTCCGCATTAAGCGTTATGCAATGGGTTCTGCTCCTTTCCAGGTGCTGTTAAGTATGATAGCCGAGAAGAAGTATCGATTGCACCTTACATCTGTTCCGCCCAACGAAACCGAGCAGGGTGAGGGCTTTTATTTTTCAAGATTTAAAAAATCCTGCTGATAATTTTGAATTGGCCAGGTCTGAAAATCCGATGTGCTAGGTTATTCAGTTTTTTTTTTCAACCCTGCTGCTAACTTTTTCTAAACATTGCCTCTTCCAAGCTTGTACATTCTGCTCTGCTGCAATTTTTGCACGTTCTATTGATGATTTTGGAACTTTCTCGATTTTCTGTCTCTAGTACAATTATATAAATTTCGCTGGTTGTAGTGCTATCCTCGTTTTTTCCGTCGACTAGGATTCTAAAAGAATATCTTTTAATTCCTGCGCACAGATTGAGCCATGACATATCGAACTAATTTACAAGACATCGTTTGAAATCTGGGATGCAGAATCAGTTTAATTTCTTTAAATTAAATTGTTAAATTTAAACTCACGTATTATATGACTGATGCAGCAATTTGAAGTAAGGTTGCAGAAAAAGTGAGAAATTTTTATTAAAAAAAGTATTAGCAGAAACCAAGTGTGTAGTGGGACTATGGGATGCTAATTTTGTTTGCCTTTAATTTCTATTCATCATTTTGCTGTTTTACATGTCATAGCATGATGGTCATCCTAGGTGATTCAATTCCATGCACCCAGACTGTTGAGAAATAGAAAGTTTTTCCGTTTGCTATAGCTTTCATTTTAAAAATAAATTATGTTAAACAACGGAGAGGAAACTTGAGCAACAAAGCAGATTTTTTCAATATTATACAAAAATTGATTTAAAATTGTTTTTTCAACCCTGCATAATTTTTATTTAACTTTTTAAATTTTCTTGATGTATCAGTCTTGAATCCCAAGCATTTGGTAACTAAATCGCAGCCCGAAAGACAAAATAATGAAAGTATTGATCGAATACTCCACAGAGGTCCCGCTGGAATTGCTGGGAAGCAAGGCCAGTGAGAATTACCAGACGCTGAAGGTTATTTTCTCTGGACCATTTTTACCGGAAGTGTACAGGAACCTGTCGCAATATAGTTTGAATTCCTCATTAGTCGTCCGCATGATGCCGTGGGACGATCCGATTGCCGACGTTATAGAATTGGTGAGTAATCATCGCAGTCATTATATTGCTAATTCCAATTTATTTCAATCAGTAAATAATGTCATTATGTATTAGGTTTTATTTTTTAAACAACTGTATTACTATATTCAAAAAGCGTAGAATGAGTAAATAAATTTATTCTTGAAGAAAAGGTTCATTCAATTCTTTTGAAAATATTTACATACTGTATATGATGGTTTCCTCTGAACACTGTATTTTTTGGGTATTGGCAAATCTGAATTTTCACAGATTTTCGAAGTAGAGTACAGTACAATTATACATTTTACGAACGGAAATAGGCAGAGAATTTGAACATTTTGAATTATTCATTTGCAAATATATTTTAAAATTTCTTCGCTCTTAAAGAAGAATGTAATTTTAGTGTCGAATATTGTGATATTTTATATTCGTTTGCCAAACCTTGTAACCCTTGTTTGCCGAATGGAAAAATCAGATCATCCTGAAATGAAATGAAGAAATCTGAAAAATTCTGCTGATATTATTAAAACTAGTCCAAATTCAATATTTATGTATGTGTTTTTATTAGATTATGGTACACATGCCCTTGATTAAGCAGATTTTGCAAGTGAAGTTCCGTTCGTGTTTTTATACTGTCACAATCTAATGTCTCCTGTCGGAATTTGTATAACACAGTATATACATATATTTTTTTCTTAAAGGTGACTAAGGATATTTCTATTGGTCTTCTCCCTTACAAATACCTCGTTGGAACGGAGAATAGCATAGTTACACATACCTTCGAGCAAGGACATTTACTTCACGCTTGGTTAGTGCTTCAGTATTTGATTTTTTTTATTGCTGAATATAAATTTCCTGAGTTCAATTTTTTCGCAGCTTGAAAATGAGATGTGAACGGTTCATCAGACTCAGCTCGAATTTGAATGGTCCTTTACCAGTCGGCCTGGCATTGTTGGCTTATAGAACTACGGCAGACGAGAACCTTCTCTTCGCGGGATTGATTTTGCTCGGCCTCTACATTCTCATCTCATTCGAGGTATCCAAAATATATGAATTTCCCGAAACATAACGAAAATATTCGATTTTAGTGTGTATTTTTCTCCCAACATTTTTGCAACGTCCATGTGTCAGATATTTGAACGTTTTGGGCTGCACTACATTCCATGTGAGATTATGGCATGTACGAGTGCAGTAAGATTGAATAAGAGTTGGCTGGTTTTGACAAATTTATATCACCATCTTTAATCTTTTGTATAAGTCTTCAAACTTTTGCGTATTCTCGTCAAATCTTAGCCTCAAGCCAAAGCATGTTGTTCTGTATCCTTAAATTTTGGGGTTCTGAACCAGTTAAAAAAGTATTATTTTAGATCAGGTTTCATGCGTTTGAGATATGAACCCTACACGTAGAAAAAGAGCAGTTCTTGCTTTGGATACCATTACTTTCTTGAATTTTCCATTTACTTTAACATGCATGACATTTCAAGTCGCACACTTATTACGTTCATCGCTTCAACAACGATCGGTTTGCAGTAATCTCAGTCTTAAATGCGTGCAGAACAAAAACAATTCTTTCACGTTTTTAGCTATATTGCGGCATATTCACTTCTTCTTTTTTAAACCGTTACTGACGAAAATCGAAGTACGCTTTATATCCGCGTAAGTACGCCATGATTTAATCAGTAGCTAATTGCTTTTATTTTCCGCGGGCTAAAGATTATTCACCGGACGCTTGCTACCATGATTGTTGCCACAACTGGCGTGTGTGTGTTGGCGTATATCGACGAGGTGTGTTTATTTTCTTATTAGTTGGTCCATATTTTCATCTCTATCCTTCGATTCATAGAGGCCATCCATGAGCCAATTGGCAACCTGGATGGATGTAGAAACTCTCTCGCTGTTGTTCGGCATGATGGTAGTTGTTTCTGTTCTCAGCGAAACTGGACTATTCGATTGGTTCGCCGTCCGCGCATACAAGGTATGTCTCTTTAATTTATTAATGTCATGACGTGAACATCTGAATTTATTTTCAGTTTTAGTCGGGATAAAGAGGAAAAAATGCGCCGCATTAGACCGTTTTCTTGGTGCGAGATGGTAAAACGAGGACTATGTTCTTTTCAACTGCCACGAGTTGGTTTTCCGGTAGCCATCATTTTCCGATTCAACTTGAGCAAAATTGCAGATGTTTACTGAATAGTATCTGCCTCCTTTTCGCAAGCCATTATTCATGCTCATTTCAAATGAATATCTGCCCCCGTCAACATTAATAATCAATCACGTCGTATTCTTTTGGCGTATAACAAATACGATATCGCGTTAGATATATAAAAGAAACGAGCTACGAGAAAAAACTTGCACCTGTATTTATAAAGGTATGAGAAAACATTGGAATTCGGCCAATTGCGGTTTTAAATTACGCGATAGATGAACCTAAAAACGGAACACTTTTTTCGGACAGGAAAATTCGCGTCCCCGGGAACTCAAGGAACTCTTCTGCGACACGAAATCCAACTGCTTTTACAATTTCAAAATAAATTTCGAAAAATTAAAACACCAGCTTTAATTTTTATCCATTAGTGTACAGTATTCTGCGTCTAGGAGAGATTTTGCCGAATAACCATGAAAACAGTTCAATAAAGCGCAGTAATAACATGCTGCCCGCAGATTCATCATCCCATTTTGATGCTTGATTCTGCCCTCTCGTTTATGCATTGATTTTCGAAATGGAAGCTCGCCAAGGGAGCGGCTTGGAGTGTGGTGACGATCTTGCTGGCCACTGTCGCCATCACCTCTGCATTCCTCGACAACGTGACGACGATTTTGCTGATGACACCGATTACGATCCGGTGCGTATTTTTGAGAAAATGCCGCAGCAATCGCATTTCAAGGTGACGGGTTCATCCATTCAGTTTGTGTGAAGTGATGGAGTTGGAGCCGATTCCAGTTTTGCTTCTCATGATTATGTACTCGAACATCGGAGGTACTGCGACAGCAATCGGCGATCCCCCGAACGTACTCATCGTATCAGACAAGAAGATGCAAGAAGGGGTAAGCATGACGAATGGAGGTTTCAAAGATGAGGTCCGCGAAGATTTTAAAAAGATAAAGAAAAAAATTGAGCAGATGCTGTAAAATGTAGCCAGTTTTAGGAAAATTCACATGGTTACTTCTAACATTTTTGAACGATTTATGAGAGCTTCAATACGTTTTGTGGTGGAGTACTAAAATTTCGATATCGAAGGGAAAAATGTTAGTCGCGTCGCATATTTCATTGAAAAAATAAAGGAATTTGCTTCAATAAAATTTGACACAGAGAAAATTGCCTTACATTAATTGCGCACCCTTTTCTTTAAACCTATGCTAAGTCTAGTAGTTATAGAGAGGGAGGAATTCCAGACGAACTCTAGCTGCGGCAAAATTATCCACAAAAATTCCACGTACAGTAGTTTGCTTGGTTGTTTTTCAGAGAATAAATCTCAAATCTCAATTGCTAATTGTGGAGCGCCAATTTTTCGGCATAATTTTTGGAGGATGCAATGAAGGGAACGAAACCCGAACCATTCAATTTTTTTTATTCAAAAAGCTTCATATATTAATCAGGATATACCGTATATGGAAGATGAAATTGTATAAGGTTACAGATTATTCGAAGCCACTTTCTTTGTACAATACTGTACTTCCATGAAAAATGGACGTGAACCTGCATACGGACGTTCGTAGTTGTATGATTTCATTTATTAATTTCTCAAGTCTGAATTTAAGCTGAAAGTCAGCGCAGCTGAGAGAATTAATTTACCTTTTCAATTTTCATTCCTCCGGATTGTCTTGATCATATTGCTAAAAATTCAAATCATATCAGAAACATTCCCTTCGTTAGAAAACTTGGAATTTAAATATAGAATTTAAAATATTTTGGATTGTTTCTAAAATTTTTGTGCTGGAACATTTTCATTTTTCGCGCGCTGATGGAAATGAACATTAAAAATAAATTAAAGATTCAAGTTTGCGGACCTTGTACGAGGTATATGCGGATTTGATTTGACTATACGTGCTGAGACAAGTATTTTTCGCAAGTGTTCAATTATTTCTTCATTACAGGGGATCTATTTCGGAAATTTTACTCTTCACATGTTGATCGGAGTTCTGTTTGTGACGGTTGGCGTTCACTTCTTCGTGAGGTATTACCTGTTCAAAGAGCTGAATAAGGTGAAACGAACCGAGGCGGAGGAGGCCGAAGACGGTAAGGAAATTAGGTTCATTTTGTGAATTGAATATTTTCTCAGGCTTGCTCATAAATAGATCTAGAACGAGAAATATGGATGTGGCAGCGGGCGGAATCCAGCTTCTCTCCGTATTCGAGGCAAGAACTATTCGTTCGGAAAATGCTCGACAAAAAGGTTCGCCGATTGAAACGCCGTCTGACAAAACGCAAGAAACCCGCTACAGCTCAGTTCGTATTTCCAAATTTCCGCAAATTTCCTCGATTCATTTTACATTTTATTCCTCAGTAACGTTCAAGAACCTGCCGACGCCAAGTTTCAAATGAATCTGAGGAAGCTCGAGGAAAAGGTATTTGTCAACCGAACCGACCGAAAGCTAATAGTCAAGAAATCATTTCGTGTTAACGACTTTTTTGCAGTACAAAATTCGAGACTGGGTCTTGTTGGTCAAGTGCTTGATTGTCTTGACAGTCATGATGGTCGGATTTTTCGCTCAAGCAGTTGAAGGCTTGCAAATCAGTCTAGGATGGGTTGCAGTCCTTGGGGCTCTTACCTTACTTGCTGTCACTGACGGTCTTGATGTTGAAGCTGTACTGGCTCGTGTTGAATGGACAACGCTTCTTTTCTTTGGTTCTCTTTTCATCATAATGGAGGTGAGTTAATGGCATTTATATACTGTAGTTACTCAGCTATATAATCGTTGATCTATAATACAATCACCCTCATCGAGAAATATTTTTTTGAAATCACCTGCTGAAACAAAGGCTAAATCAAAGATTTCTAATGTACGCACCCTAGTCTCATACGACACGGGAAATTATTTTGCGGTAAGCAAAATAAAAGGACTTGAGAAAATACACTTCCACCGGAAGTGTTTTCTATTCGTCCTCGTTATTTGCATCAAGCCATACGCTTCAAACAAGTCTATTTAAAATTTTCGGTAATACCGTTATAGATCATTTCAGAAGAGTATATTTTGCCTGATGTAGATCGACTCAAATTTATCTGAAAACATAGAATACAAGTTTGCGGGGGAAGTCACCCTATGTTCAGATCCCTCTCCTTGTTCTTAAGCACTTGAAGAGTGCGTTTTTTTGAATAAACGTTTGCAAATAAGCGTAACGAACACTCCATTAATTTAGTTCCGAAATTTCCGGAAATGCAGTGGTCTTAAAATTGGTGGATCCTTGATGCCTTTATTTTTTTTTAATATCGTAGTTTTGTGGAGGAGCTCATATATTTTGTACTGCAGTGGGCTGTATATGTTCAATGAAAGCATTATTTATGGGATTTACTAACGTAAATTAAAAGTGGGCCAGATGATTTTCATTAGGGTTTTTTTGAAGAAACTTCATTACAGTGTTCGAAAATCGTATAATTGAGAAATTAATTTATGATTGTACGAAAAGGTGCAGTCTCTTTATTTTTAATACAGGTAAATTTGATAATCTAATCCATAGTATTATTTTCTGTCGGTACAATATATGTTGAAAATATGAATTTCAAAGATTTTCGAAGCACAGTACAGATACTGTATAATTTTTTTCGAACTGAGTATACAGAAAATTCTAAAATATTTATTCAGCTTCAAAGATTTTCGGAAATTAATGCTGTGGTTCAAAAGTTATTACCGCTATTATTATTATTAGTTTTTTACTTTCTAATATTTTCAGACATTGAAGCGCCTCGGATTACTTGATTACATTGGACTGCAGATAGAGACTGTGATACTTGCAGTTTCTCCGCAATATCGACTCCTCGCTGCCGTGTCTTTAGTTATATGGACCAGTGCGTTTGCATCGAGCTTCATCGACAACATCCCGTTCACAGCGATGATGATCGGCATCATCACAAGATTGGCGTCGAGTTCAGGGCTCAACTTGCCACTTGAACCGCTTGTATGGGCCTTGTCTTTCGGTGCATGTCTCGGAGGTAAGTTTGAGCTCATAGAAAAAGAGGGTCCCGGAATAGAAAAATCCTTGAATCGTGCCAACAATGTTTGCAGGAAACGGTACTTTGATTGGAGCATCAGCCAACGTGGTTTGTGCAGGAGTCGCTGGGCAGCATGGCTACAAAATTAGCTTCTTACGATTCATGCGGTTAGTCCGCAATTTTTCCAGTTCTTGTGATTTCAGTTTTTGACATTTTTCACTTATTTACAGGACGGGGATGCCAATTATGATCCTGAGCGTATTTCTCGCTCACGCATATTTGATCATCTGTCATTTTGTGTTCGTTTGGCATTGAATTTCGGAACTACAGAGATGCAGCGCCGTGACGTCGTGATCCAGAGTATTCCCAATTAAATATATGTATTTTTTTCAATTTTGAGGGAATTGTGGACTTTTGTATTGAAATCTCGGATTACACGCTCCTGGTGGGTTTTTCTTCTGCATCTGTAGTTTTCCTTTATATGGGGGATTGGACGATGACACAAATGCTGAACGCTTTTCATCTCAAAGAATCTTTGATGGACGTAGGGGCATCTGAGGATTAAAATCAGTGCGAAAACGCGTCAGGCGGACGTTATTCGATAAGACAAGTTTAAAAGACAAATCCTTGTAAAATATCTTTTCGTTTACATCGCTCATCAAACAATCTTTGCGAGATTCGTGCGGGATTGAAGCCCAGCAGTAGATCAAAACTCGAGCTCCGAAATTCTTCAACTCAAGTTGATGTTTCGAGCAACAACAGGTGTCATCTGCGTGGTGGTTGGCCACATTTCGATTTCGATGCCTCCGATGACGTTATCGAAAAGTCGGCAAAAATGTTGATAGATGTCACTCAACTGCATCCAAAAGTGTCACAATTCGCATGACCCGACAATGTAACACTCGCAATGCGGATCAGCTCGAAGCCGTGGAACTTGGGACCCTCTTTCTATGTTTGAGGAAATCCCCGGAGACTATTCTTGCATCAATGCATTCTTTTTTATTTTCTGGTCGAGTAAGCAATTCAGTCTACACCAAATACAGTACTGAATAAGTGTATTGATGCCCTCATTTACTAGTCATCGCCCGTTTTCAGGCATCAGTGGATTAGAGTAAACACTATGTCGTTGCCGTCCTGAATATACTGTACAAGTATTTCGTCCGCATTATGGGAACCTGATATTCCTCAAGTCAGGATTGTCATCACGGAACGAATATACTCGAGCCATCAATAAGGTATGAGTTCCCTTATTAATCCAGAACATATGTGATTGGCCAAATTTCTGAATATAGCTTCCAGAAAAGGGCCCGAGTAGTACTATGGGTCTTATAAAAGTTGTACGCACTTTTTGAACAGTTTTCAAGCGACTTCTGAAAAAAGTAAATTGTATTTTCTCATTTACAATGCATGATCATTTTATAAGGCCTTTGTTTTCCATTCGTTTGCTGGAACAATTTTAAATCGAAATCTTACTTCCGCCGTCACCAGGCAGTGGGGGAAAGTGGCCACAGCTCTGAATCTCATTTGGACACTATTTGTGTTTGGCTTGTATTTGGAATAACCAGCTAATGCGTCAATCCTTGACAGAAGTTGCATCATTGAGCAAAAGTATTCAATTGAAGAAGAACACGGAGAGCTGCACTCTGTTTCGTAATGTTTCTCTCGGCTTATGGGCATTTAGTAGTCACCCTTACCCTTTTGTAAGATGTCCTCCCTACATTTTTGTCCGAAAAAAATCTTTCGTTCTTCATGATGCGCACCTCAGTTTTCACTTTTCAGTGGCAAAAAGTCAAATATCCAAGAAACTGTGAAGTATAATTTGTAAATGTCGGCTCAAATAAATTTCATTTTAATTTGTTTCAATTATTTGCTGTTTCTTATTTCCATCGTGAGTGCTGTGAGTAAAACGCAAAATTGCTCTGAAAAGGATGGCATTGTGCACCAACATGTTCTCAACAAAATGAACTTCGTACAAGGGCATGATTCCCAACTCAATGTTTTTCTTCAAAATTCTAGAAAAAAAGTAACAATACATGGATCACAATTGTAGTATATTTTATGAGTTATTGAGACACTCACACTTTTAAGACAGGCGTATTGACATTGTGATAGGTATGCTGATCAGCATGCAACTCCAAATAACTGGAAGTCGACACACACCCCAGTACAGACTGATACCATCGGATTTGAAATTTTAAATCAAACTAGCTTGTGCTTTGCAAATGAAGATGGCTTTATGCGGCCATTACCATCTTATTTAATTAATTTCATCGGGCACCTCCTCCAGGTATTAAGGTGCTGACCCTTTTTTTGAAACTTCAGGCGTGCTGATGGTATTGTTTGGATTCGCGGTTGTAGTCTGCGCAGTGTTGGCTGGCTGCACCTGTTGCTTAGTCGATTGGGAGGTGGATGTGCTGGTTGTGCGGAGTTTATGTCCCCGAGAACAAGCAGCCACGCAATCATCCATCGAATGAAACTGATTTGTATTGCCACCACATCCGTTATGCTTGAAGGATTTGCACTGACCGAGCCAGCAGTCGAAGTAGAAGAGCATTCGCGGTGCTCGGCGGCGACAGTGGAAACCCGGATGCATGAATCGCGCGCATCTTCGGGGATCAATGCAGTGCTTTTGGCATTCATTCAGGGATTGGAACCTGTTTTGATTCCCGCCACAGCCTGAATACCAAAAGTGAATACACTGGCCTTTAACGGCGTCGTAGTGGAATCGCAGGAGTTTAGCTCCACAAGAACCCGACACTTTGGGTAGGTGGCACGGAGATTCGGACTGTGAGGTCTCTTCCGGTTTCTCGACATGTGCCTCTGGTTCGTACGAGCTGGCTGATTCCCACTCGATTTCATCACTAGCATATTCTTTACTGTAGGCGACGGATTCGTGCTTTTCATTTGCTGAATACCTGACACCGTGACCCGAAGGAATAACTCGGGAAAGGTCTGGTACTCTGGTTCGGATTCTTGACGGCCGTACGATTTGGACTTCGTCTAGATTCTCCAGTGCTTCACCAGACGCATTGGGTTCCGTTTCATTGGAGGTAGGGGGAGTGTCAACCGAAGGTTTGTTTTCGACTGTCGTGACGACGGCCTGAGTTGGCACAGTGAAGAATTTCGGCATCCAAATGCTGGCCGTTGATGGCTTTACATCTTCTCCGAGGTCAGACTGGCCGTCACCTACACAGAGGACGCATAATATAAAAATCAAATTTTCTTTGACGACGGTGTTCTTATCACGATAAAAATAACCGTGCTGCCCTAGTTTCATACGTGATCATGAATGCAATGTATTTCCGTCAGTCAGTGTCCCACCGTGTTCCTGTGCATTGTGAAAATGTCCCAGATCAATTTACCTCTTGCATTTTGCAATTAATGAGTAAAAAACCTGCATTTGTAAGTTTCCTTTAATGATGATCCATGTTGTCCAGGAAATAATCTGATGTGATATTGATTCATGGCATTATTTTATGCACATAAATTTAAAATTGAAGTTAAATCCGATCGTTTTTAAAAGGTTTTATAAATAAATAGTTAGTTTTATAAATGCATGGTTGCTTTGGTTATTTAATTAAAAAATTACATAAACAAAGTTCAATAAGCACTGTTCCAGATTGCCACCGGAGAATATATCATGGCTATAAGACTTATAACAGAAATATGAAACAAAATTGGATGGTAGATTTTTCTATACTTTTTATATGATTATTGAATGCATCAAAGGGGACCGCCTCTGTACATCCAGTTCAACTAATATAGAGCCAAATAAAAACCAACATTAAATCTTATGTTCGCTTCTGTTGCATATTCGTTTCAACGTCGGAAACCGCGAATTTCGTAACATTTCGGTAATTTTAACCATTTATACATCTCTGCAGAATTTTTAATACGCGTTGAAGGAACATCGCTGTTATCACTCCATTTTCAACAACAGCCACCCATAGTGTCCAGAAAATGCACAGTATGGGGTCCAATGCCCTGCAGTGACACATACTTTACACCTCTGAGATGAGTCATCCATCTTGACAGTGTCAAAATTCACGGTAAATAATTCTCGTTTGGTCGGTAATATACTAGGACAACACTGGAGCCTTGAGAACAAAGAGACATGCACACCTGTCACATTCTGTTGATTGATCAATTCTTCACTTTCGGCTGCAGCACTGATGCAGCATGAGCACAGAAGAAAGAATATACTCAGTTGAATGAGCCTCACCGACATGCTTAGAATACACCAGACATGGGATTGTATGTCATTAGATAGCAGGGACGAAATGCGGGAGTCGATGGATGTGTCCACCTCAGCATTTCCAGTATGAATAAGTTGCTGTGTTCAGCAGCATTGGATTTGGTTTTAGGAAAGTACCGAGTGATCAAATAGGCAGTATTTTGGGCTCTAAGGCCAGGCTTTCGCGTTTATTCTTCAAACAAATGGCGTAACAAATCGAAGATGATTCATTTGTTCCATGCATATCATATAGCTGGATGAGATGAACTTCATCATTAACAGGGATTATGCTTACTGTGTTATAAATCGAGCCAAATAAGTGGGAGGTGTATATTACGGTGTTTCCATAGTACAGTAGTATGCTCGTACAGTTGTTGTGGCCACGTCCTGTCATCTGACCCATAGAAGTCATCGTATACTTTTACCTGCTGAATATGGAAAATCATAAACAGAGGTCTGCAGGAGAGGACTGTCAAACTCTCTCCTGCAATCAGGTTTGGCATTACGTATTGTTGCAGAAAAGTACCCAGAATAAAACCTGAAACGTTGAAGAACTTGAAGAATTGTGTAAGGGTCAAGTCAACATATCAGAGAAAGTCTAACCAATGGCTTTTAGCGTGTTGCTTCATTTACTCGCCTCTTTATAAAGAGAGAAAAGAAAAGGCCCTGTCAGCTGATTTCTCCTACCTTCTGGGCATAAAATTGCATTCTCAGCATATGTGCAGGCCAGATATTCCTTATGTTGGCCCACGACACATTCCCTTATTTTAAATATGCTTTCTTTTAGTGGAATCCAGGATGTAAAAAAAATCCTAAAAACCGAAGCGCCTACTCTGTATATTTCATACTGACAGACAATTTCTTTGAAACTCACTCAAAAATCCGTTTGAAATGACCAATGCTAACAAAATAGTGTTCATGTTATGGAAATATTTATATCATAGCCTAACGACCAGAAGAAGTATGATAAAATTGTGTACCGCTGACTCAAGAATACAATCCACGACGGCTTATGTAGACTTTGTTTTTCCTTGAGATTTTCGGAAGTTTTGATGATATCTCGTCAAGTTATTATCGAATCATGTTTCCGCCCTTCACTAATTTTCTTATTTTTTCACTATCCGGGATGTTCCAGGACTCGGCCGTTTGGTTGAATAAAGTTGAAGTTCAACTAATGCTTGGTCTGGCGTCTTCATTTCACGCGCGAACACATCAGCCGACTATTTTTTCGGGGTGACCAACCTCGTCAGCCTGAAATAATCTCGTCGCGAATTAAACTCGTCGCGGAATATTGTCGTCAGGAATAACCTCGCCTTTATGTATTACCTTTGATGTTGGGACTTGGGAATTTTTTTTTGCTGTACGGGTTGGTCTAGTTGTGAAGTGCAGGAAGATTTTTTTCTACGAGTTTGTTCCAGAATAGGCTTGTCGACAGTAATCCAGTTTTGGAATGACGACGTTATTCCACCATCCCATTTTTTCGATCCAAAACACGGTGTCTAGTTCGCCGCATCCCCACAAGATGACAGCAGCGTCGTCGTGCGAGGAACTCCACTATAGCAATGCTCTCTATTCGGAAGAGGAGAAAAACTGGGATTAAATTACATGCACGGTTTTGTGGGAACCACATAAGACACGCGACGTCTCACTTCATCAGCTGCACTAACGTTATCCCGGAACGGGGAAAAAGCATCAGAGGCCAACACAACGTTCTCCAGTATAGGTCAACTAACTGCTAACGCTGCTCGTCGCTTAGCGGCTGTATATACCATAAGAGCCGTCTCGAGACATGCTTGCCAAACTTCCATCCCAGAGGAAGCTTCTCGTCTTGTCCCAGGGGAAAGCTAGGAATCGACTGCGGTCGATTTCTCGATGTTTATTTATTTTTTTCGGGCCTTGAAAATCCCTAGTACCTTTGCGTGCACCCACGGCCACCTGGGAACATCCCACGTTAGAGCCCTTGGAAGATCTTCTGTTTCAAAGTTGCAAAGGCTGCGACAGAAGAAGAACGAATTCTATATTTTTATTTTCAATGTCGCGCCCAGCATTCAGCTTCTGGAATTTTGTAACTGCGATTAAACAAGTCGACTTCAGGAACATGACACCAAGCAGTTCATTGTACTGGCAGAGCTTTTCAGCCAGGGACACTTGCCAGGTTGGACATGAAATTGGCGTGAGGTAATCAACTATTAAATGTTGAATCCCATGTCAGTACCTTGCCATTACTTGCGAGTAATGAGTAACGGAGAATCGATTAAATTATTTCTTGAAAATACCGCATAAGGTGGTAGTGGTTGAACACTCACTCATGTAACTTTTTAATGCGTGTGCGAGTTGTATAATGCAATTCGCACACAGATGCAAAAAACAAGGCATTGCAAGATCGGTTATACATGAAAGTGAATACTGTACTCCGTTTCAAGTTGACAACTTTATGTCGTGATAACAGGACTGATGTGTTTTGGATAGCTGTTTGCTGACAAAGCCTCCGAACACTAATTTGCGATCCAGATCCAGGACGTGATTTTGATTGAGGTTTTCTCACAGCGATCGTTTCGTATTGCCAATAATTTTGCACTGGATCCACACGCGACTGAATCTTTGCATTGTATCCACGCAGTTTCTCTGAATTTCAGCCAATTTTCAGGTCTTGGTGGCGAAAACTGTCCAACGCATCCTGGGCATTATGCAAAAACAATCAACTGCAATTGTCGAATTAGCGTCATTTCTTGTTTTTCAAATAATGTCGCAAATAATTATGGTTTTAAATGCAGAATCGAGAAGAGGGATTGCTTTCTCAGTGTAAAAACAGTTATTTGGGAATATCCCGCATGAGTTTTTCATTGTTCGAACGCAAAGGAAGATTTGTTTCCCGCGCAAATCTTATCCAACCGAGTTCATCTCTCTCCCGCATGCAATTTATGAAACTATACGAGAGAGAGATCCATGGAAACGTTGAGACATTATTTATACATGCGAGTATAGTTCCAGGACAAATTTACCCTTCTTGAGAATATCGAGAAAAGCGTTGCATTAATGTTTTATATTTCTGCGGAGTTCTCGATCAAGGAGCCGTACAAGCAACTCACTGTACCGTGGTGGCAATAAATTACACGAGCAGTTTGCGACGAGGCAGTGAGTCTACGTCGGATCTGAAGTATTGCATGTATTGCAAGTCAGGATAAAGAAGATAAAAACATGTATATTCGCAAGTTCGTGCATGGAAGCGAAAGGGAATTGCGTCGGACGGATATGCAGTTCCGCAACCCTTACCTTAATATCTGAGGAACTGTCTGGAAGAAGAACTCAACATTGGTGACCGCGTCGTCTGCCTCTCCTTGATGTTCGTTCATGTTGTTATTGTAGAATTACGTCAGAGCCAATCTCATTTTTAAAATTGTCGGGCTTTCTCTCCGATACCATTTTTAAACTCTCATTTTCCATGACAATTCGATCGAGAATCAAAACACATTCACAGAAATGAAAGGGCTTTCAATAGAATCATCTGCTGTGTAACTATCCTATTATGGGCTTTTCGAAAGTCCTCCAAAGTTTTGGAGAAATCTTCTCTGCAGACGATGGACGAAACCTGGGGGCCAATCTTGATGAATTTCTCATCGGTTTTAAAATATGCACCTCATTGCAGTCAAACCAAGGCAATATGTAATAGAAATGATGGTACCTAATACATAATCATTTGAGCTTGCTGCTGGAGAATTCCAAAGACATCTGGCACTGTCCCCCAGGATTTCTGAACTACCATATTCAATGCGCGTATACACAATCACCAAATTATCATCATAGAACATAATTTCATAGAAAAACGCATTCCTTTTATTGAACAATTATGGACGCAAAAATTTCCGCTGAAGAATTCAGGAGCTATTCGGCAACATATGTAAGATATGAAGCTCCGCCCATGGGCCCGAGACAGTTTGTGGGTAATTTCCTAAACTTTTGAAAAGCCCCTTGGCTTCCTAACTAACATATCACCTGCCGACAACAAGCTACACTCGAAAAAGTAACGTACACATGAAATCATTTTTGGAAGGAAAGAATTCAGCTATGCATAACATCATTTTCGAAAGCACGGCGACGTTCGACAGTGCTGGATGCAATAATATTATTGCCGCAAAACCAGAATCTCATGACGTACTGTATACAGTACTTTGTACTTACAATGTCAGAGAACGAATTCTTCCGTGAAAGAGCATCTATGCCGAGGAACGCGTCGCATCAGCGCTTTTCATTTTGAAGCCGATGTGTGAAACGATTCACGTGTCAATGCTGGCATAAGTGAAAGTACTGAAAATATTTATAAACTCGTTGATGTGCAGCCGAAAAAGAAGACAATGCGTTTCATTCGACAGAGGGAGAGAAAAAAAGAAAGGGATGGAGAGAGAGAGAGAAAAAAGAATTTAATGCAGCAGATGCATAAATGTTTCATGGGGGCGGGAAGCGTGTGAGCCGGTCGGAATAATGGATGAGAAAACAGGAGTGTATTAACCTTCAGAACGCAATATTTCCTCTCATCGTGCTTTCTCTCGAGAATCGCCGTGGCTTACTGGGAAATATCTGTCGGCGATGATGCCGTGTGTCCGACGACGGCCGCCTCCTTAGCGACGATTTTGTCGCTCTGATCCCATCTCAGCGGCAGCAATAGGCAAACCGTGGAATGAAATCATGCCCGCGCTAGCTGCTCTTTCCCCCCCCCCCCCCCAAAGGCGTAATCACACCAGTGGGAAAAGGGGACCTCGCAGCAGTGCATCCCCAAAAATTTCGCGGACGAGTTA